CTAGGTTTCCAGCTTTTTGGCACTTGTCAGTAAGGCAGTATCTTCAATCAACTAACATCTATCAATGTGCACCATCATGCTGAGCCGCCTAGCTTGACTGCCCATTGCAAAAGTGATCCGTAGAATTCGGTCAGTACTGATTACTAGACAGTAGTAGTAACCCCTAGGAAAACATAATACCTCTCTCATTTCTAGGTGGCTTGATCGGTTGGACCTCTAATGACCCTGAAATTTGTTTAAATGAATAAAGTAGGAGAAATTTCGATAACAAGTTAATATTCTTCATGAAAGCATGAAGACATTCATTGATGACTGAAAGATTCTTTGGTTTTGTGCGAAAGACATATTCATATGAATGGTGTAAGTGAGATAAACAGAAAAATACATCGATGGGATAGAATTCCCAGAAATGTGAAAATTCTATTTCAAATATATATCTATGTAGTTTGGGGGTTGTGAAAAGTCCTGGATTCAACTCGCGGCAAGGTTGAGGGTGTGCACTGTTGAGGAATCTCATTCCTAGGACAAAACAGGCGTCCAATACTTTCAAGTTTTCAATGGTCCTGAAACCATGGTTAGTTCATGATGAATGCTACCTTGTAGTCGAATACATACCTTCTTAGTTGACTGTATGTTCTAGAATGACTGTAATACTTAGGATAACTAAGAAGTGGTCACTAAATAATCTGATATTTTAAAAGCTAATATTGATCAAGTTCAATAGTGAAAATTGTCATAGTTGTTACGTTGTTCCAACAGTTTTCAAAGTGATACGTTAGTTTACTACATTGCTAATGATTATTTAATTGTTTGCTATTGATTCATAGTTTGAAAAAGTTGTTTCCAAATTTGCTAAATATTGTATATCTTTTCACTTGAGAGAGATACAGTTATTACTTACCGTCCTATTGAACTTTCTAGTTAAGACATGTGATGATGCAAATTATTATTAGTATTACTATTATTATTATTTTTACTATTATTTGTTTTGTAAGGAGAATCGAATCTCACCTTTTTTTCGAATAAATAACTAAATAAATAAACAAGTAAACAACACTTTTATGTATACTGAATAAGCAAAAAGGTCTGATTTTGATATATTATATTAGTGAACTCCAGACAATAACTGGTTATTTGATGTATAAGCCAAAAACACAAAAGACGGTAGTATACTATACGAAAAACGGACAACTCACACCGACATATATGTACATAGAATAAAAGCGAGAAATTTACCACTTCATAATTATATCTATTATCTGTCAGCTAATATACGCAAGTAGTATATGCCTTGATAGGTTACTGGTCTTTTTTCTCTTCTGTTCCTAATAATAATGTTGATATTCTAATTCTCATTGATATTTTTGGTTGAAAACTAGTTGAAAAGAAAAAGGAGAGAAGAAAGCTAAAAGGAAGAAAATAGATGAAAAGATCATAAAAGTCTATTGCCCAGTTCAGTGTATAACAATAGGATGACTTAAAAGGAAATAAGTGTGTACCTTAAATGTAAGGGTAGGTATATAATAGTTGGGAGTAAAGAATATGCATGTAAAAAGAGGATAGGTGATTTATCACAAATTACAGAATTAGAAAGAATCAGCCTCTTGATACACCCTAACTCTCACCAGTAGTCATTCCATTCATCCATCTTACTCACTCGCACACACACACACACACCCATAGACGGATACCTTCTATAACGAACCATTTTACTTAACCGAAAGTTATGCTGATAAATAGAATAAATGAATAAATGTGTGAAAACTGATAAATAAATTAGCAAACAAACAAAAAAAAACCTGTGGTAATAATTCCTAAAAGTTTATCTAGTTAAAAACTGAAGGAAATATATGTTTAACATGAATATAGTCCATGTAGGTTGATTGATTAACCTGGTTGTATATTCGAAAGGTCGAAATTGAAGAAAATAATCAGAATAATAAAAGATTGTAGAGTATCATTGAATAAAACAAACAAATTTGTTTATTTATTTTCCTGTTAATAAATATGAATATTTTGGTGAAATTTCTAAATATTTTCGAAATATCAACAAAAATCACCTTCTCATATATAAACCTATGGTACAGGTGAGTACCAGCTAATGATAAAATTATGACTTTCTCATTCAATTATATAATATGAAAGAAATTCTCAAGCTTTATACAGGTTATAACATTATTCTTATTATTATTATTATTTGTCCCTTGGGTTCCTAGTAGAACATAGGGATTCACTAGCACATCTCCATTACACTCTCTTCTCTGCAATCTTTTCAACCTGGCTCCACCACTACCCACAACCTCTCATTCCTTCCTCACACAATCTCCTTTCCTCTCCTCCATGTCACCCACCCTTAGCTGGAACACCCAACTCGTCGTTTCCCATCTGGGTTCCACTCGACTGCCTGACCTCACCTCACCTCACCTCACCTGACATGACCTCACCTGACCTCACCTGGCTCGTAATGTCTCCAGTCGACCTTCTCAGTGTATGCCTAATCCAATATATCTCCACTTCCTTCCAGTGCATATTTGTTGAGTGATAGGTTGTTGGTTGATTCGTTGACAGCCAGCCAGTCCCCCACAGTTCTTTGTTGCTTATTCTTATTATTCTGGTCATCCATCTGATATTCAGTAACGAGCCATTGTAGGCGGCAGTTGTTCATGAATGTCTGTAGTTTGTTGGGAATGCATTTCGTAAAGTGCCAAGTCTGTGAGCCATACAGAAGCACTGACTTGACTTGTATTAAAGTTGAGAATCCGGATATTGTTCAGACTTTATGCTGAGTGCAGTGTAGAAGATTTCCACACCGGTTTCAGGTTATTACATAGATGTTTTAAACTCAATATGTGTCAAGTGACCACACATGAATACTGCACATTTATAGTACAGACTAACGAACAGAATGATTAATTTTTGTGGTAATTGACTGTATTGTGATTGCCTGAAGTCATACAACATCGACTAAAGTGTTTGGTGATGCTGAGTCTTTCAGCTTAACTTGATAGAATTAGGCCAGTATTAAGGACTTGACAACATGAAATTGGTTACTTACTCTCTAGTGATCAATGTATGCATGAGTGATCCTGCAACTGACTATAGTTGGCTAACTAGACTTTCCGTACAAGAATCCTTTCTGTATAACTGTCCCACTAAGGCCTCCGGAATGAATATTCCATGCTATTAATATTATTCAGTAGGGTTTAGTTTAGAGAGCAGCTCAATTGCTTCCTGCTTATAAAGATTTTGAACGGAAATGTGGATAATTCGGCTGGTAATGCTGATGACCTAACCTCGCCTGGTTACCTAGTTCACTAGTTACTAGCCGGTCTTAAGCTCGCGTAAAGTCGGAAGGTTGAGCATAGGGCTAGCAACCCTACTCCCTAAGACCAATAGAACCGATACAGAAACTTCTAAGCACAGGCAGCGAAGACGGGACTTCGAGTGAACGCAGAGAAGACAGAGGTGATGAAGATACTCAACCAACACCACCACCAACAACAACAACAAGCACCAATCAACATCAACGAGACAAACTTAAACAATGTAGCCTATTTCACCTATCTAGGCAGCACTGTTTCAACTACAGTCGACAGCGCAGACGAGGACATCAAATCAACCAGGATCCGAAAGACAGCAACACAGGTGTTCAGTAACCTGGAACCAGTGTGGACATCTTCTTCACTGCACTCAGCATGAAGTCCGAACAACATCCAGATTTTCAACTTTAATATCAGTCAAGTCAGTGCTTCTGTATGGCTCACAGACTTGGCACTTTACGAAATGCATTCCCAACAAACTACAGACATTCATGAACAACTGCCGCCTACATTGGCTCGTTACTGAAGATCAGATGGATGGCCAGAATAATAAGAATAAGCAACAAGGAACTCTGGCTAGCTGACTGGCTGACTGGCTGGCTGGCTGTCAACGAACCAACCAACAACCTATCACTCAACAAATATGCACTGGAAGGAAGTGGAGATATATTGGATTGAGCATACACTGAGAAGGTCGACTGGAGACATTACGAGCCAGGTGAGGTCAGGTGAGGTCATGTCAGGTGAGGTGAGGTGAGGTGAGGTCAGGCAGTCGAGTGGAACCCAGATGGGAAACGACGAGTTGGGTGTTCCAGCTAAGGGTGGGTGACATGGAGGAGAGGAAAGGAGATTGTGTGAGGAAGGAATGAGAGGTTGTGGGTAGTGGTGGAGCCAGGTTGAAAAGATTGCAGAGAAGAGAGTGTAATGGAGATGTGCTAGTGAATCCCTATGTTCTACTAGGAATAATGCTGATAACTTAGTGTGATTCCTAATATAAGTTAAGTGTTCGTTTTGGTCACTTGCTTGGAGCTGATCTTATTCCAACTTGTAGTCTGCATCCTTCTGTTGCTTAAACACTCAAAGCTAAATTCCATTGTCGCATTACACCTGACTGTGTGTTACACAAACTAAACATGGCGAATCATGAACACTTAATTTGATTCTGTTAATTCTTATATGTTTAATGAGGCGTCACACCTTATGCAGTATTATTTCATTTCGATTCATCAACCAAAGAACTTCCGAAAATCAGAAAGTACTTCGTGCCTTTTTTTATCTTATCTTGCTGATTCCTACCATTGTTCGTTATCCTGCCCATGCTAGACAGAACCCAAAGTCTTCAAATGTAACGGTTCACATATTTCAGTTGACCTAGTGGATTAAAATAAATCTGTTTTGGCAACTTTAACAAATGAGGTTATCATTGCTCATTACTATTATTGACTCTGTTTTATCTCAGATGAAAAACACTAGTAGTAGCTAGTGAAAACGAAATTTGATGTTCATGGCTTTGGTTCATGAAATCGTTTACATTCCCACTTATTTGATTGAACTGGTTAATGTCTGATACTTTATGAAACAAGAGTTAATAAATGTTGTATAGCTGAATTCATAAAATTTTCTTTCTTGAGGTCAACAAAAAATTAACCAGTTCCTTCTTTGTTTTCCTTTGCTTTTCAGAATGTTATCACTGAAAGTATTGAGCAGTTTGTGAAAGATTTCTCAGACAATAATACCACACTAAATTTATCTGTCCAAAGTCCTGTCCGTAAATCGTCTACATTATTATTAAATACTAATGCAAAAGACCTTACAAACTCTTCACAAAATAACACCCATCATATAAGATCTCCTGACTTGACACCACAGACTGGTGCGAATGAGATCCACTCAAATTATATGCCAACACTTGACAACAACTGCGTACCAAGGCATTCCAATGATGATATGAATAAAAATGATGTTACCAATCAACCTGTTAATGCAGTCAGTAATTTTTACAACAATATGCAACAAATGTATGAATTTATGCATAGTCGTCAACACCATCCTGATCCACATTCTCACCATTATCAGCAGCAGCAGCAGAAGTTGGAACACCACCTGCAACAGTCAACACCCCTACAACTCCCACCTGTACAACGACAACAACAAACATCACAGACTATCCCCTTCACTCCTCTCCTTGACTCAAAACAATATGATAGAAATTTCTTGAATATGCTGAATTCTTTCGGTGGATTTTCATCTTATCAACATCGTCATCATCCATCAGCTTATCCATCACTTCAACAAACAAGTTCAAAATTGTCTGACACCGATCCAAATACACCGGTAACTCAACATCAACAGTCTTTTCGTGGATCGGAACCACTACAATGTTATATCTGTTGTCAGCCGATAGTAGCTGATGAAAATGACACGGGTCATAACAGTAACAAACACGCCTCATTTGAAAATCTTATCAAGCATTTAACAAGTGTGCATATGTTACCAATACCAACTGTCATTAATTACGTAACAGCTTATATGACTGAGAAAATGTGTGAAAATAACTCAACTCCTCTTAGGGATGATAAGACCAATAGTGGTGCTAACAATACTACTACTACTACTACTACTGCTACTACCAATAGTAATGATAATAACAATAATAATGATAGAATTCGTACTAGTACTGCACCTCATTTCATGAATCAGCAATTATGGAACACTGTTCATTGTGGACAAAACTCTATATCATTCCAAACAGCCGTATCAAACAAAGAATATAGACTTAGTCAAAACGATGAATGTGTAAATGCGTTTCTTCAAAAGGTAATACACAATTTTTTGTCTGAATGCATATCATTGAGAATTTCATATTAGTTCGAAGTTGAAGTAGAATACTGTTGAGCATAACTTGCAAAGTGGATATATGAATACGGGCAGATTTATCAAGGGATATTCAGAATAAAGCTTTAATTAGGCATAAGTTATGCTGATCACACACTTTGAAACCATTTTGAAAACTATTCGTGATACAGTGACATTCGTGTTTTTTTAAATATGCGGATGTACAAAAAAAGTTATTTGATTGAATGCAGTTGGCAAGAAACCGCAGACTTAAGTTTCCTGCTCGTTAGCAAGGGGCATTTTCAACTTCGAGGGAACTGATGCCCCCAATAAGACTAGATTATATATGATCAGTGCATCTAATCCAAAAGTAAAGGAGGTCAACTGCGTCCTAAATGGCTCAATGGTAACGTCTCTAACTGCAGCAGTGAATGATATGGATTCGAATCTCTGGAGGGAAGTCAGTTCCCTCGAGGTTGCAGATACGTTTTGTTGACGAGTGCCAACAGGCACAAAATCTAAGTCCATCAAGAAGCGGATAGATTTTCGTATATTTATCCTTTTCCTTTAACGATTCAATTTTCTGCATCACAGCTAAACAAGTAGGAAAACATGCAATATATTTACAAAAGCATTATCATATGAAGGCGTACCACAGAATAACAAAACAATGATTTGTAATTTTTCATACGATACAGTATATTATTATCATTAATATTTCAATTCCTTGCCGTTTTCCTGTGTGTTTGTGTATGGTGTGGGATCTACTACTATACACCCACTTTTGGATGAGAATATAAAAGGGGATAAAAAGAAGTCAGGAAACAACAAAGGTGTATACATAGTGCATACTAACTACTGCGGTGCATAATTCTGTATATGAACATTAGACTGAAGAGAATGAATTTACACTAATGAACAGACACTCTAAGAGGAGAAAAACGGGCGAGAGTATGCACGATCACACACAAATGCGTAATGCATACTAGAGAAATAAATCATATTCATCGTATTGTCAGAAACTGTATTCACACTGTGTTTATCAAAATTCCCGTAGTTATTACTATCATTACTGCTATTACTAATAGTGGTAATGGTACTACTAATATAATATTATACTGTTAGGCGTTTATATAATACTTTGTTTAGAATACACCAAGCATTTCACGTTTAAAATATTTGAAGGATTACTTCTACTATCATCTTTATTATTCACACCACATTGAAATATATATGTGATATTCATTTGCCAGTGGGGATCTCCGGAACTGAATATGTTCTGCTACTTTCAGTCTATACATAAATGTGTATGTATATACCGAAAGTGTACACGTGATCTGAATTTTAGCCGTGTTTTGTCAGTTAGTACATGCATTCTCCCATTTATTTCCTACACTTGTAAATAAACAAGAGAAGGGAAAGGCTAAGAATTGTTTATCCCCCAGCTCCCAAAAAAAACTTTTGGATAAAATTCAACTTGATCCCACGATTCGTATACATTATATCGTAGATAATGGCTCCACAAAATGCGTGTTATAGAAACTGGGTACAGCATGATCTTTAAAATGTTGAAATATAGGCGCGTAATAAGGCACCCATATTTGTACCCGATATATATATATATATATATATATATATATATATATATATATATATATATATATATATATATGTAATCGAAAATTAATGCTTGTAGTGAAAACATCCCACTGCATGGAAGTGCTTGTGATATTCCCTGGGGTTTGATATTGTGTCCAGGTGCACACAAGTGGTACGCTCAACAAAAACACAATCAAATTTGAAAGTCATTAACAAATCATGAAAGAAGAACAAAGATTATATGAAAATTAACTACTCTGTCGACAGTTTCAACCATAATGAGGACGGTAGTATGTTGCAGTAATGGTAGTGATGTGAGTAATAGTAGTTTTGATTTAGCTTCAGTGCTTAAGTAATGCTTTCAGTAAACTAGACAGAAAAAGTCAAATTGATCCAGCATCTGACAGTTTTATTACCGTATTCAAGGGCTAAAAGATGATGAAATATATGATGATCCTGAATTACCTACTTAGTAAGAATTGTTAAATTGTCAATGTCCAGGTAGAACTGCTCTTATAGACATCCAAGAATCTAAGTCAACAACAAACAACCCATTTAAGCATATACTGCATAGTTTTAGTATACTTTGAACTCCTTCTACAGTTTAAGGTATGCCTCCTCCTTCTCCTCTCCCGTCAAATTCAATTTTCGTCTCAATAATGACGAGGGACAACGTATTTTAGGTCTCGCAAAACTCTTGGATACTCCATGGTGAAGAACTGTTGAAATACGCAACTAAAGATAGTGAGAATCCAGATGATATCTATGCCAATAAATGTTTCACTAACCGAAGCAAAAAATAAACAAATCTGAAAAAAATCCATCCAATATTCAGAGGTTTCTAGTTACGCAGACGAGACGTGCAAACAGATGTCGATGATATTGAACCACCTCCGTCATTCCGTGATAAATTTCGTCGACTTTGCAGTGCTTTCGTATCAGAGATCACAGGTATTTTATGCTACAGCTGTAAGCAATACCAATATTTGAAGTTGTTATTCATTGTAGACTGACATCAGTTGGAGGAACAAAGGAAACCTGGGAGCACTGGACAGCTGAGGAGTCCCATACTAGGACGAAACAGCTGTCCAGTGCTCCCAGGTTTCCTTTGTTCCTCCAACTGATGTCAGTCTTCGATGAATAACAACTTGAAATATTTCCAAATCTCCACAACCCCCTCAAAATTTAATTGAACTAGTGCTCGTTGGTGACTAGCTTCGAGAAGTATTCCCCAAGTTCCAATGACAAGTCGTGACCGGTGGAGTCAAAGCCTGATGGCCGTGAGGACAAATACTCAACGATGACATTGGGTGGCGGTTTGCGCTATATCGTGAGCTAACAGAAGTTGGAAATATGGAGCATTGGATTCTGCCGAGCCAGTGGCTCAATGGTAACGCGCTGGTCGCTGAACCTGAAGGTCGCAGGTTCGATGTCTGCTGGTGGGGTGGTGGGTGCGCACTGCTGAGGAGTCCCATACTAGTTGGACGAAACAGCTGTCCAGTGCTCCCAAGTTTCCTTTGTTCCTCCAACTGATGTCAGTCTTCGATGAATAACAACTTGAAATATTTCCAAATCTCCACAACCCCCTCAAAATACCAATATTATTTATTTTAAATTCATGAATAGGTGGGAAATTAGTTGTACAGTTCAATTTTTTTGTAAATAACCTTTTTCACCATTTTCTGTTCTGTATTCCAGCTAAATCTTTATACTCTGAAGCATCGGTGTCTACAAATACCAGCGCTATGCCCCTGTTAGAGTCAGACTTAATGGATACTCCTAAACTTTGGATATGTCCACAGTGTAATTTAAAATTTGTCGATTTCCAACAATTCCACCTACACTTTACACAAGTTCACAATACACTAGATTTAAATTTATTCAACCTTGCTGAAAATCTATTGAATGCTTCATTTCAACTAGGGAATAATTCATTTTTATCCCCTCAGACCATTTTATCAGCAATGCAATCGAAATTAACTGATTCATTTATAAATCGATCTCAGGTGAATACAGTCAACGCACACGATGATCCTCTATGTTTAATAACCACTTCAACATGTGGTATTTCTAGTTCTGGAGGTATGCCTAATATCAGTAATATGCCACCAACAATGGGGAGTGAGACATTGAAAGACGGTGGTAATTGGATAGGAAGTTGCATGCAAGCTAACAAAATGATGAACAACAGCAGTAAAGAAGCACTTCTAATGCATAATCCATCATTTGTTGAAGCAAATTTGGCTGCAGTTGCAGCGACTGTAAATAGATTTCCTGTTTCACAGTCATTACCACCGGTCACATCCACTTCTTCTGCCTTGTCTTCACCATCATCATCAATATCACCAACTGTACTGTCGAATGATTTCACTTCAAAGATATTCACCTCAGAAATGATGAATTCTACAAACTCAGCTATTAATTTGTTGGGAACACTTAGTAATCACTGTGAAAACACTGAAAAAAACATGAAGATCAGTAGAAATCAATCAAATTGGTCAGAAAAAAGAAAACTACGAGAATCACTGCATGATTATGCTCCTAATTTATCAGAGGCTAAACGTATGAAGTTTCAAGAACAGATTTCTGGCACTGGATCAACTTATTATCAAAAACAAGGTAAGTTATCAGCTGCTTACCAGGATATTTTCTTTTCTATACTGTTAACCCCTTTTAATTCCCTTCCAATATTTCAGGTCATTTCTGCATAGAGTCATTATCTCACTTTTTTATACTATCATGAAATAAAAACTGAATCAATGATAATGAAAAGATTCAGTGAATACTAATGGTGTTTAACTAATCTTTGTGAATCCGAGAACGAAATTTTCAACGAGGAATGTTGTGCTAATCATGTGACTTTCATTGTAACCAACACTTGCTATTTGATGTTCCCTGTATTATCCCGTCATGGGTTGGATTGAATCGATCAGTCTCTCTTGTCATATAGACTCTTGCGCGGATGCCTTGATACTACCTGTGTTTTAATTCTAGTAATGATCGGTAGTGGTTAGCAGAAGAACCCATCTTCGACATTACCTCTTATTTGGGGTTCGTCAGCTGGATGTACCTGCTTCACAGTGAGTGCTGTTGTTCCCACTAAGACTTGAACCTATGACTGATCGGTGGCAATCGGCCTTGGGTTCAAGGCTTAGTGGGAACAGCCAGCCAGGTACATCCAGCTGACGACTCCCAAATGAGAAAAAACCCGCGACTTGAATTTTACTACTAGCCAATATCCATCAATAATACCAACATTGGTTATTAACTAACTGTATATTTAAAGATCCCCATAGATTATTCAGGACAAGAATAATTAGTTATTATAATAATGGTTTAATTAAGTAGTTTGTTAGAAAATGATTAGATTGCTGGTAGCTGTCATTATGGACTGATGTAAACTATACAGATGCTAACAGACGAGATGCAGTGAACATCTGTTTCATCATTGTTGAGTACTCCTCAGTAGTATGCTTTCTTGACCCCATTGCGGTTATGAGCTTTGAGTTTATAGACTGTTCATTATCCATGTCACCGCTTACTCAATGACGTTTTTGGACAAACTCATACACTTGATTACTTATCGAAATAGCCGACACGAAATTCGACTGTGATAATAATAAAAGGAAATAAAATTCATTCAGACCGCTGAAACGTGTTCATTGGATTCAAGACAGTGGAAATTGAGTATTGTTCCTGTATTGCTTAGTCTTATCAGTAGAAATCATTCTGTAAGAAGAAATCAGAATATTTCAAATAAAAGTTTAGGCTAAAAATAGTCACAGATACCGTTGTATATATCGAATAAAAATGATAAATGTTATCAACAACAACGCAAGTAAATAAAACGACACAATAGTTTATCATTTGACAGACAGTATAAGCATCTCAGCAGGTTGTTATAACACATACTCTGTCCTTTACATGTCATGTATATATGACACTTTTAGTTAAGGCGCCAGTTTTATATTGAATCTACGATGATTTTGTTAAAATACATAATATCCATGCATATATATGTACCCCGACAGGCATGAATTCTTAGCGCATATACAGGCAAATTCATTATTACTGCCAAATATGATAATTAGTATCACTTAATGATCGCATAATAACCCCTCTTGGTTATTCGCACAGTAGGTTAGCGGTTGTAGATAGGTACATATAAAGAGATAGAATGAAAAAAAGTGAATTACACATCACAAAATACTATCATAGCAGCAGAAGAATATTACTCGCAGTATATATGATAAGCTACACTGAGAGAGACAATTAAAATTCAAGGGTTGATAAACATACTCAATATATATATATATATATATATATATATATATATATATATATATATATATAGTGCCAGGTAAACACAAGAGTTATTGATCTGCCTAATTTAAACTTTTACTGACAAACAGCTCATGGAAATGTTTATAAAGATGTGTTATTTAGCAGATTAGCATACACATGCATGTGTATTTTAAAGTTTAAATGAAACGCGCAAAACGATGTTCAATGTTTCAATATTCTGTCACACTACACTTGAAGGTGATTTCAAAAATATGAAATATAGTAATTTTGTATAGTCTAGTCAGGAAAGGACATTTTCTGTTTTATTTCTTCTTTTTTTTTATCTTAAAGAAACTAATATTATTTTTGGATAACGTAATTAGAAAACGTAGTTTATGTGTAAAATATGATGTATTTGTTCAATACATTTATGTCTGGGTAATGACTTGGCAAACCATATTATATAGTCCGTTTTAATATCAATCCTGTGACCTGGATCAATTATACGTTTTCCAATAGATGATGGTTGTTACAACTGTATTCAGATAAAAACAGCCCTTACAATATTTTATGGAAAAAGTAATAGTTAGAATGGTGCTAGTTGTTTTGATAATGACGAAAGTAACAGACTATTCCCGACGTACAACTAGGAGATACAGACTTATATTTTCATGGCAGTAAGTATCCTACTGAAAACTGTTCTATGTAGATTAGAAATTAATACCTATGATACACAAAAATGTGAGAGTAATCAGATAATAAGTTGAATAAAGGGGAATAAAATTATCCTTAAATACCGCACGTCATAAATGCTTTATAGAAGCTATATGTTACTTTTACCGCCAACTGACAAATATACATCTGGTAATTCATTTAACGCCTATTTGTTGTTTCTGTTGTGTAGGACAAACAAACATATACACACTTTCTCAGATGTCCTGATATCGAATTCATTTACATTACAGTTTATTTTGTCAACTTCGATTCCATTGTATCCCATTAATATTATTGTTGACCACCCAAAGAAATTCTAAAACATTTTCGATATTAACTATCATGAAGATTTGTAACCATTTTCGGTCATTATCATACACAAATACACACATATAGAGGTTATAGATTAAAGATGATAAATAAACTACAGTGTTGTCTTCAGTGTAATGAAATTGGATAAACATACATATTATTTTATTATTAATCAACTGTTATTTATTTATTTATTTAAATAAATGAAGATATTTTTTTAGCCCTCAAAATAATGATCAAGTAGGCACACATATTCACACAAACAGACATACAAGGAGAATGAGAATGTAAATTATCATCATAGTTTTTATCAAGCTCATTCATGCATCGAACCATGTCTGTGATAACTAAGACAAAGGACAAATGGTTACATTTCGATTAGTGGTATACATGTGATAGATATATACAGGCTGGTTTATCCACATAGTATATATGTTTGTGTGTATCTGTATGTATTAATGCTTTAATATTTGTCGTACTGACTTGGAAATAATTAGATTATTATGATTACCATTGTGATTGTTATTACAAAAAGTAGTTAGGATCATACTGTACAATTGTAAAAAGAATAGATAAAAGTTAGACAAATAAAATAGAAGTTTGAACCACCCTAGTGGGAGAAAGATTGATTTGATATACTGACGAATCGTACTTGATGATTGACTAATTAACTAAATTGTTATCCAACAATTCATCATCTACAGGTGAATATACCCTAGGTATCTTGAACAGCCTGATCATTCATTCACTGGTATACTGGACCAATCAGTTAGAAATTACTGATGAGTCAACTTAAGTCCTAAACAATTCATGTTACCTATGTATAGTAATGATGGGCAGTGGCTAGCAGTAGAATCCAGGATGAGCATTTCGTCCTATTTGGGACTGGTCAGCTGGATGTACCTGCCTCCCGGTGAGTCATGCTGTTCCCACCGGGACTCGGACTCAGGACGAAATGCGCATCCTCGATTCCACTGCTAGCCACTGCCCATCATTACTATACATAGTTAAAAGACAGGCAATATCGAGGCATTCGCATAGGAGCCCATATGCCAACAGAGACTGATCAATTCGGTCCAATAAACGACGGTGTAATACAAGCAATAACACTAATTCATGTTACCATTGATATTTGTAAGTGGAAATACTAAAGATTGAAGTAGGTTTTACAGGCTGACGTAAAGTACTTTGCATCGAAGTCTGTAAGTTGTATAGGTGGTTTCTAGATTGGCGTTCCTCCCATATTCGTTGTGTTTACGTCTTAAATTTCAGTGACAGAAATCCTGTAAGAAGGAAAATGCTATTGATACTTGAACTTCACTTTTAGAGTAGTGTTATTCAACTAAGCTTGAACCTTAATCTAACTTCATAAACTCACTATAGGGTAAGGATTCATTGAAATTCTCACTGGTCACTTTACTGTAGGCCGTTGTTCTACGTATAAAAAACAACAGTTCTGTTCTTAAACCAATAAAATGAGTTTAGATAAAAACTAAACTTGATGGTTTTGATGTTATCAAATTTCTTATTGTGTTACAAGTTAAAACAATGCAAGAAGGTATCCATTAACCCAGCTACTTCAATAGCAACAACAACTATATGATATTCAATTCACATCATTTTCTATTCATTTGAACTCATCTTATCGATAGATCTGTATTTGTTTAACTGTATTATCAAATTTTCAGTTCAATGTTTTTGTGCGATACAACAGAATATCTTTGTACACCTGAAATCGTTAAATCTAGGCAGTAATCAAGAAGATATTTAGTAGTTGTAATGAAATTACATCTTTTTCGATATCACATAAACAATGTGGACTAGCTAGTAATTATATTCTCATGAGATATAACTTGGACTTCGAATTGCATTCATTTGTAAACACTGTTGTTAGGTCGATATATATATATATATATATATATATATATATATATATATATATATATATGTACATATATATAACTTCAAATATTGTTTAAAATGTAAATACCTTGACCTTATTCAGCACAATCGTCTGCTGCTGTTTACTCTCTCTATCATAAATTTTGACAAACAAATGATACAATAAACTTTTAAGTTAATTTGGCGGTTTGTAGGGATTTAGTAATTTTTCAACTTAGTATTCATCATAGATTTACGTTAAACAACATTATTTGTCAGTTCAACAATGCAGACACTTGCATTCGATTTTATGACAGCGGTTATCACTTCAAAACGTTTCTTAAGACTACTCAACAAGGTTATATCGTAGGCCATTTCTGCCATGTTCCTAGCACAAATGCACTCAGTTTCATAGATATCAGGTTACC